AAAAGGGAGAAGGGATGGAAATAGAGAAAGTCAAGAGAGAGAAAGGGTAAAGATAAAATGGGAGGTGAGACAGATTATTATTTAATGAGAATGGAAAAGGGGAGGGGAGGAAGGGAGAGAGAGGAATGTGGGAGGGAGAGAGGGTGGGATATAAGGTAGGAGGGTATTCAAAACACTTCTTGCCCTTTTCTCTTCCCTTTATTCATAAACTCATCACGCCCATGGACGTGTACACACACACACACACACACACACACACACACACACACACACACACACACTCTGTCCACCGCCACAAGCCATAACCACTCTTTACAGCCATGTGTCTACTGAGATTTCTTTTATTGTTCTGTGGGGTGGGCAAGAGGTGTGGGCATAGGTGTGGGTGTGTGGCTGGGGGTGTGGGCGTGGGTGAGTGAGGGGGGGTGAGTGGACAGGAGGGAAAGAAAGGTAGGGAGGGAGGGAGGGAGAGAGAGAGAGAGAGAAAGGAAGAAGGAAAAAGAAGGGGAGGGTGGGATAAAAAGTGTGGAAAAGACCGGAAAGAGGGAGAGGGAGAGGAGCGAGAGACATGAAAAAAGGGAAAAATGAGAGAGGAAAAGGGGTAAAGACAGAGGGATGGGAAGAGTGAAGGAATGAGTGTCTCAGCTGTGAATCTGGTCTACGTCTTCAACACAGCTTAAAGGGAGGGTGTGTGTGTAAGGGGAAGACAAGAAAGGGGAAAAGGGGATGGGGAAGTGGAGAGGGGAAAGAAAGAAAGAAAGAAAGAAGGAGGGAGGGAGATAGAGAGAGAGAGAGAGAGAGAGAGAGAGAGAGAGAGAGAGAGAGAGAGAGAGAGAGAGAGAGAAAGAGAGGAAATCTGGCTAATAGTGTTAAAAGGCAGACTACAGTTACCAATACTATAAGAGCTATGGGGATACAGGCAAGAAAGGAAATTATTCTTTAAAAAATAAATAAAGGCGAGGAAAGAGTAGACAGAAAAAAAGTCGAATATAAGCCCTAATAAGACAGAAAACAGAGAGGATGATAAATCCGAAGGAAAAAAAACAACAACTAAACAAACATGAGCTAAAAAAAAAGGGAAAACAAGAAAGAGAGAGAAAAACAAAAACACAAACAAACAGCGGGTAAACGGGGGCGGGGCGGGGCAGGGGGGCGGGGCGAGGGGCACGTCCGCACCCCCGCCCCGTCCGTTTTACATACGCACCTCACTCCTCAGCCGCGAAATGTTCTGTCCGCCCTTGCCGATCACAGAACCGGCAGCCTGCAAGGAACACACTCGCCGTTAGGACTCTCGCGAACTCGGGACTGGCGGGGGCCGAGGGCGCTTCCTTGGGAATCTCCCTTTAACACTTAGATGCACTTTCCGTTTGTTTGTTTTATTGTTTTTTACCAGAATGGTGCATCTGCCATTTTATCTGTCTATTGAATTACTTATTTATTTATTAACTTCTTTTTTTACAGAAAGGTGCATTTTCGGTCCGTTTTAACTGTTTATTTATTATTTCTAACTTTTAATTTACAGAAAAGTGTATTTTCCGTTTTATGTATTTATTTGTTAATTTATTTACCTTTTTACAGAAAGGTGCATTTTCCGGTTCATAAAAAAAATGTGGTTTGCATTTAGTATTAAGATAACTAAGCATTTAAAAAGAGATTATCATTCCCATTCACTAAAAACAATTAAATATCGCTACTAACAAAAAAAGTTAAGTCATACTCCTGAAACGACTACCTATTATCTTATCAAATCATGAAAATAAATTGAACATTCACCACGGATGCCACAGCTAGATGCCATGCACAACTTAATAATTTAAATATCAATATGCACGTAAAAAAAAAGGCAGAAACTCCCCATACATACCCATACAAACGCCCGCGCGCGAACACACACACACACACACACACACACACACACACACACACACACACACACACACACACACACACACACACACACACACACACAGACACACACACACACACACACACACACGCACACACACACAAATCCTGATCTGCCCGTACAAACTAGTCGCCGCCCCCACTCCCTCTCCCCACTCCACCAGTCTTCCCCCTCCCCACCCATTCAGCAACCGAAACAAGGCAGCGACACGCTCTCCGCCCGCTAATTCCCACCAGGTGTTTGCTTCATGTCAGAATGTACATGAAATTGGCGGATGCTGCACACTTCCGGTTACCCCCCCCCCCTCTCTCTCTCTCTCTCTCTCTCTCTCTCTCTCTCTCTCTCTCTCTCTCTCTCTCTCTCTCTCTCTCTCTCTCCTTCGTCTCTCTCTTTCGTTCGCCTCCCACCTTTCTCTATATCTTTCCCCCTCCCCACTTTTTCTCTCTCTCCCTCCCCCCTTTCTCTCTCTCATTTCCTCCCCCCCTTTCTCTCTCTCTTTCCATCTCCCCCCTTTCTCTCTCTCTCTTTTCTCTCTCCCCACTTTCTCTCTCTCTTTCCCTCTCCCCACTTTCTCTCTCCCTCTCCCTCTTCCCCGTTCTCTCTCTCTATCTATCACCAACAAAATTAAACCAAAAACAAAATCTTTCATTAAACAATATGATACATTACCCGGAAATTCCTACCCCCCCCCCCCACTTTAACAACACGCTGCACTTCCTTCGAGTCAAAAGACACCTCTTAAAAAAAACTGGAATTTCCCTTTTATTTACGTACAAACGGCTCTAAATAAATTATCTAATTCTTAAGACATACCAACTTTTTAAAAAAAATCTAAAAAAAAAAAAAAAACAGCATGCAAAATACCGAAATACACCTAACAATGACATCCACACATCACTCATGCCAAAACTTCCACGAACTTTATGTGAAGAATTTATAACTTTAAATCCTCAACATTTACGCGGTATGCACACGGCACTAAGAAACGAAAAACTTAAAACCATAGCTGGATGAAAAATTAACATGGAATAAAAACCTCTTCATTAAAACGGTATATGCAGCACTAACTGATTATCAAATGTGTCTTTCCTTCCATCCTCTATACCTATCCCTCCTCCCCATAATGTTCGATAATTTGACCTCTTATCTCTCTTTCCTCTTTCTTTTCCGGATTCTATAATTACAGTCTCTATTCCGTTCTACATTTCTTTCCTTTTTCTATTTCTCCTCTCTCCCTCCGCCTCCTCCTCCTCCTCCTCTTCTCCTTTCCTCTATCATTCTTCCCACTAC